CAAAAACAGCGCAAACTAAGAGGTGCACCTAAAAAGAACTAGTCAAGTTAAAATAAACTCAACTGAATTGGAAGGCTTGAGAAAATTAAAAAGGGCATCAAAATAGGCAGTAGGCAAACCTCTGTGGGGAGAGCATTAATGGTGCCACAACCAAGAAGGCCTTTTACATGGTAAGGCCCATCATACATCCAATGGCAGGGAAATACACATTTTTGGAAGGATGGGTTTTAGGCATAATTTCTGAATGGGTAAATACATAGATATCCAGGGCTGCCTTTGCTGTAGTTTATATATAACTAGTCCTAAGAATAGAAGTATTCATAAAATATATCGGGGTATATAGTAGATATGTATTCATTGTAACAGATTCACTCAAATTTCATGTAAGAAAATTGTAACATTTTATTTTATGTTATTTCTGTTTTTTAGTCAGAATTCTGTTTTGATTTTTGACGGGATACAACATTAATTAGAAAAAAAATCTTCAGATGGCAGGAGGGAACCTAACTTCAATAGTGTTTTTGTGAAGCTAAAAATGAAGAGAAGGAAAATAATATATTCCACTTCTGAAGGAAGGGTGTGACATGAATAGATCAGCAAACCATTCAAAGAAGTAACAGCAGCCAGGCCTTGCACCTGCGTATACACATTGAGGCAACTAATTCAGTACCTTGACTTGCTTTTCTCTCCTCCCTCTCAATCCCATTTCTTTCTGGGTCAAGAGTTCATTTTTCAACTATATCTTGGGTGGGCAGAGGCTACCTTAAGAAATATCTTTGTACACTGCCTTAAGGCAGGACAAAATGCTACAGATAATTAAATAACCAAACGATTTCCAGTCAATCTCTTCCCTGCACTTACCCACGGAAGCCACATTCCCATAATTTTCCTGCATGACTGCTTGATAGAAAGCTCTTTGATCTGGATCCAACAGAGCCCACTCAGACTTGGTGAAATACACGGCCACATCCTCAAAAGTAACCAGGCCCTGAAAGAGGGAAAGATGCTCCATTAGCCCTGCTGGGAAATATCCTACTGCAGCCTTCCCCAACCTTGGGCCTTCCAGACACATTTCAGCTGCAACATCCAGAATTCCCAGTCAATGGCCCTGCCGGATGGGAATTCTGGGAGTTGCGGTCCAAATGCCTCTGAAGGCCCCCAGGTTGAGGAAGGCTGTCCTAGTATAAAGAACAGCCTGCCCCCCACCCCCCTGCTACCTGGGTTGGGTCTGCTGTGGATGCACTGCTTCTTCTTGATTGAGAGGCTTTCAAGATCACACAGGAAGTCATCCTGGGACTTGTGAAGAGATAAGGAAGTGACAGGAACAAGGGCAAGGTGGTCACTTTGGAAGCTTTCGATCCTATTCACAGTCAGACTGGCTCTGTACCCATGTTCAAAGTTCCTATTCAGGCAGAAGTCTCACGGAGTGATCTTGGAGCAGTCGCTGTATCTCATCCACACAGGATGGTTGTGAAGATCAAATGCAGAAGAGAGGAAGACGGTTTATGCCTCTTGTGGAGAAGATAGTTTATGTTGCTTTGAGCTCTTTGGAAGAAAGCTGGGATATAAAGGAAATAAATGAATGTATAAAGACAGAAGAGGTTGTTGGTTAGGCAAACTCTAGGAATATACACCCAGTCAGAAATTCATACCACAGTTCTCTTTTCCGTCTCTTCCATCTTACCTGGACATGAGGCACAACCACAAGGCTATGGCAACTTTCCAGATGAAGAAAGCCCTTCTCTTTTCATGTCTTAATGCAGTTTTATTCCAACGTCAGAACAGACCATGATGTTTCTTTCAGACTCTGATTGGTCACTAAACCTGTTGTACTCCTGCCTGTTCCCAGCCATCCAGACCACTCCTGCTCCTCCACATCACATCTCTGTCCCCATCATCTCCCAGTCTTTTGCTCTGACCACCAGACTGACATACGTCCCATGTCAATAAACTCTTGAGTTCTTGTTTTGCAACTTGCCAGCTCCACAAAGTGTCATGAGGCTGGAGGCGCTCCTTCTTAACAAAGCCACCGGGTCAAACAGTGGAAGCTTAAATTCCTTTATTCTACGAAACACTGAAGTTACACTGACAAGAAACGACGGAGATACTTTTAATGATGATGATGATGATGATGGCGAAGTTGTTCTCTCTTTCTGACAGGGCTCAGATTACGAAAAGCTTTTGGCTCAACTCGTCTCCCAAACTTCTCTCCCTCCTCCTTTCTAATTCCCTCGACTCCAATTGCCCTAACCGAGAAGGAGCATCTTCAAACCCCCTCCCTCCCTCCTGGTACAGCGCCAATCGGAGCGTTCCCATGGCTGCTATCTGCAAAAGGCCCAGCCGTTTCCCCGGCAACCGCCTGACCTCCCTCCGGCCTTGTTTCACTATCAGCTTCTGCTAGAATCCTGCTTTCCCCTGCCCCTTCTCTCTGAAACCCTTCGTCAGGGAATGGGGAGGGGGGTGTTTGTACAATAGGCACCAGGTACATGTCTTCCTGTACCGAATCTTGGTTCTCACGGGAAGCCTCCTGCTCCCCTATGTACACAGAAAAACAAGACTTAACATCCCGCCTCACTGCCTTGCCATAAACAGATCAAAAAGGGTGCCTCAGTGTCTGGTGGTGAAGACCAAATGACCCCACTCCATTAGTGGGTAACTGTCAATTGCAATCTTAGTATTTTATGGGTTTACCAAAGTGCCTCCTTGACCCTATAAAGTTCACACATGTAACCTTTTCTGGCAGGCCTGTTCAAGATAACTTTAGTTTATTATTATTATTATTATTATTATTTAGAAGGCTTGTCAAAATTAGAATGAAACGTAACTTTTCTTTATGGTGCTGTGACATGTATCCAATCACTTTCCTATCCATATCAAAGTATCCAATCACCTTCCTGTGTATTGCATTCACTCCCCTTTTGTGTATGCTATATAACCCTAAGGAAATTAACATGGGGGTGTTCCTTTTTTTAGGCACCCATGGATCCATGCATTCAATTGTAAATAAACCTATTTGCCCTGACAAGAAACTGATTTCCAAGCCTCTGAATTGCGGATCGGTGTGACACCTACATGTGCCAAAGATTCCTCTGAGTTGACACGCACGATACAAAGTTCACATCTGCTATGTCTATAGCAGGCATATGTCTTAGGCCTCAAGGCCATATCCCTGAACCGGCCTTCTCCAGTCTGATTCCCTTCAAATGGTTTGCACAATATTATAGTCAGATCAACACCAAAGAACATGCCCGAGGATAATGGGAGTTGTAGTCCAAAATGGCTGGAGTACCCCAGATCAGGGAAGGCTGCCCTATGCACTAATTGTGAAACCATTACATGATTAACATGCACAGTCTGGTTCCACATTGCAGGGAAATTAAACTCCTGTAAGAAAACAAATTAGGCAGAAAAGAGTGCGCTACAACAGAAGAAAAAATAGTAAATGGATAAAGTAGAAGAGATGAGAAAAAAGAGGAAGTCACTGGAGAGACATAAAGAAAAATAGTAGCTAACCAAATAACTTTGATTTAGAATTCTTTTCATCTTTTCCTAGCTTATGTGCAGAAGTTTGGACATGAAAGAACCCTTACCAGCTTGGTGTGACAGTGGATAACCACAATAAGCACCCTGGAGAGCAGCTGCCAATTGGTGAGTAGCCCAGACAATGCTGAGCTGGCCCAGCTGTCCTCAGCCGGTGCCCCCCAGATGCTTTGAACTATGACTCCCAGCATCCCCAGGTAGCCATGCCTGCTGAAAACTACAAAAGTCCAGCAATGGGCTAGGGAGGGCTGAGCAAGATGGATCCATGTCCTGCCCTAACTTGGCAGAAGCCAGTTTCCCATTTGCCTTCAGCACTGACTCTATGGCGTTCGTGTTGCCTGCAAGCCACCTGGCTCCTGTTTTAACCAAAAAGCTGAGGAATGTTATACAAGATGCTAACAGATGCTGGGACAAGCTTGCAAGAGCTCATGTTCAAAACTAAATAGAACATTAGAGTTGGAAGGGGCCAGATTGCTGTCAGGGCCAAACCCCTTCTATTGCAGGACACTAAGTTATACCATCCTACTCAGATGGCCGTCCAACTACCTTCTGAATGACTCCAGTGAGGGAGAGCCCACAACTTCCCCAGGTAATAGGTCCCACAGTCATACTGCTCTGACAGTGAGGAAATTTTTCCTGGGATCTAGTCTAAATCTGGTTTCTTTTAACGTAAGTCCATTATTCTGTGTCTTGCGCTCTGGAACAAACATTAAAAGATCCTGGCCTTCCTCTGTGTGACGGCATTTCTTGAAGAGTGCTATCATATGCCCCTTCAGTCTTCTCTCGAGGCTGAGCATGCCCAGTTCTCTCAATCTTCCCTCAAAGGGCTTTGCCTCCAGTCCCTGAATCATCTTTGTTGCCCTCCTCTGTACCCTCATGACTCATGTTTCATGAGTATGTGAATACAATCAGATCAGCATTTGTACAACCTCCCCCTTTGATTGACCCTGCAGAGGTCCAGGATTCTGGTTCAAATGAATCAGTGGTCAAGTCTTTGGAGCTTGACCACTCAAGCTCACTGCCAGGATCCAGATGGATGATATATTTCATGTAAACTGTGTATGTGAGGGGGAGGGTAGGACCAAAATCAACTCTAAAATAAAGAGGAAGTGTAAAGACAAGAAAGGAATCACACCTACCAAGATGTGAGCTGGGAAGTAAGTGATTCCTGGTTCTCCATAAAACCTGGCTCCTTCCATGCAATCCATGCTCTCTGAACCTTTCCAACTCCTTACAATTCTCTTTCCAACTTCCATCTCAGGGCATCCCATTGCATTAAGCAAAGCACTAGAAGCAACTCAGTGATGTTACATGTCCACTGGGGCACCACTGAGCATGCTCAAAGAGGCATGTGCCTTGG